TTTTTCGATTTATGTTTTTGAGTTCTTGTTTGTTTTAGATTTCTGGTTTGGAGATGAAGTATTGTGTGTTGTTGATCAAAAAATAAAAAATTAAATAATTTTAGATTTATGGTTGGAGACTCACCGGAGAAGACGACCGGAGTGTCGCCGGAGGTGGCAAATATGTCGGAAACCGGTTTAACCTCCGATAGCAAGTCATAAGGATGTTATTTGAACAGTTGAACAAGTTCAATGGGAAAATATGAACAAAAAAAAACTCAGTGACTAAATGTGTACAAACTGAACAATATGTTACCCTTCTAAGTCATTATCCCTAAAATAAATAAACGGACATATGCACGAGTCAAGTCATATTTTGCTTCCTAATACGACTAACCGGTAACCATATATTAACCTTAAATTGTAACTTAAATAAATAAACAAACAGTTAACCTTGTTATGTTATTTTACAATCTAACATTGTTAAGTATGTGACATGTCACATCTAGAAATAAAAACATACAAAAATTAGAAAGGACTTTGAAAGTGATTGATTTTTAGGTTTAACCAACACCTTGTGGACACCCCATGTGCACATGGCTTGTAACATTTCATTTATTGGAAGGTGTCATGTTTGTCAAAAATTGGTTTTCTTACACCCACATATGAACCATTAGTTTCACTTTCACATTGTTTTGAAGGACCAAATAACTTATCGTTTGATTATGAAAAACTCAAAATGTATTAGTGTGTTTATATATAATAAGTCCTTTACAATAAACTGTATCTGTTGACGAGTTATGTTTTTTAGTTAACAATTGATATGCTATTATTGCATTTAGCTTTTTAAAAAAATGTTTCGTTTTACGGTAAAAGTTTTTAGCTTTTATCTTAAACAAAAACTCCAAATCAAAAGCTATTTTAAGTAATGTTTAACAAAAACATTTATATAATTTTACAAATTGACTTGATTAACATTTAAAAAAATAAAAAAGTTATGTTTCTATATTATACTTTATAAAGATCATTTTATGTAATTTTATATTTTTTTAAAAGCTTTTGACTATTTTTTTATCGAACATTTATATACAAATAAAAGATATAATTTTTAATTTCCAACTACCAACTTCCGGTTAACTTTATTAAACACATCTTCACTTTACTTAACACCGTCTGTTACGGAGGAGGGAGTCATTCCCTCCCAACCCATTGAACCCACTGTCACACAGTGGCGAATCTAGAATCAAAAACCACGTGGTTCCTTATGTAAATGAAATTGAAAAAAATATGAAAAGGTAGGTCATTTGACAAAAATAAGGTAGTTCATTTTTTTATATATACTAGTTGTGTTAAGAAAAAAAAAGGTAGGTCCTAGGACCTACCTTGGCCATGAATAGCTACGCCACTGCTGTCACATCAATTTTTGTCTCTTCTTTTTCTTCATCTTTCCCAACCCACAACACAAGAAATCATATCTTTCTCAACCCACTTAACTCACTCAATTAAAAAAAATACAAAACAATTAAGATACAAGTTTTAAAACACATGGTACAAGAGAAAATGAGAGAGAGAAGTAGAGAGATGATGAAGTGGGTTAGTGAAACCAATTAAACAACTTGTTGAAGCGGGAGTGGTACCGGCGGTAACTCTATTGCTAATTAAGATTTTACCTTGATTGTTTTGTATTTTTTTTAATTGAATGGGTTGAGTAGGTTCAAAAAGATAGAGTTTCCGTGTGTTGTGGGTTGAGAAAGATGAAGAAAAATAAAAGAGAAAAAATGATGTGACAGTGGGTTCAGTGGGTTGTGAGGAAATGACTCCCTCCTCCTTTATGGTCTTCATGACCACAACCTCTTTCCACATCCACGTCACCATCATCGTCTCCTCAACATAGCCGAGATGGTGCTCAACATCGTCTTCCTCATGGTCTACAAGAGAGAAGAAGAAAGGAAGAGAGGAGAAGAGAAACCTGATTGGTCATCCTCCTCCGTCCTCCCCAACACGAACCACCATGACCACACTACTACACAAGTGATTTAATAATGCGAACCATTCTTTATTTTTGAGGCGGTTGATGGTAAAAACCGCCTCATTAAATGTATAGAGCATTAAATAATCCACGAACCGCTTTAAAAAAGCACCAGATAAATTTCCAGAAGCTTTTGTTAAGGTTGTTAACAACGAATAGCATCAAAAAAAGAATTTTTAGTGCTACTTCATGTAAAAGCATCATTAAATAAGGATTTTTTGATGCTCTTTTTATAAAAGAGCATCATTAAATCTTTATCTTTTGATGCTATATTTTGAAAAACGCATCAAATGAAAACGCTATGATTTTTTAGTGCTACTTCATGTAAAAGCATCATTAAATAAGGATTTTTTGATGCTCTTTTTAATAAAATAGCATCATTAAATCTTTATCTCTTTCCCTCTAAAATTTTCGTTTTAGCTTTGTAAAAACCCTCCATAGCCGCCACCAAATTCCACACAAATCGCATCAGTAAACCTAAAACCGCCCCAAATCATCTCTTTCCCTCTAAAATTTTCGTTTTAGCTTTCTAAAATTTTCGTTTTAGCTTTCCCTCTAAATAACCCAGTTCCCTTTGTTACAATCGATTCCTAAATAAATAACACCCATTTCAGCGGATTTCCCCCTATGGCGGTCGAAAAATTCTAATCTCCCCCCAAACCTAAGTTCCTCTCGCCTTCAAAAAAATTCTAATCTCCCTCCGACCTAGGTTTCCCTCCGACCGGAAAATTTTGTGATTGAAATCCAACCGACCCTCATAAATCTGTGGCTTCATCAACCATTCATATTCCTAAACGTTACTGGTTATCTCCATTTCGCATATGATGAAACCACTAAATCCTCTGCTTCTTCTTCATAAATGAGAATTTACTCCTAAGAATTCATCGTCATCTCTTTTACTTCGACTAAACTTCTCCCTAGTGCAAAACCCTAAATATCTCCATCCTTGTAGTAGTAGATTTCAGGGTGCCAGGATTCAGTCTCAAAATAAACGCAATCAAGTATGTCCTACACCTTCTGCATCAGCTTCTTCCAACTATAGTATTTTTTCCCTAAAAAAGGCTATGGAAGGTACGCAATATTGATCACATTAACTATTTAATTAAAGAGCATTATTCAATTTGGTGATTTTTTTCGATTTCATCAAGTGTAGTTGAAATAATCATGTTTTGTGTTGTTTTTCTTTTATTTAAACCTGGATTTCTATGACTTTTCAAGGAGGATCGATAGATATGAGAAAAATGATTCAGCATGAAGATTATATTAGAGGATGTGGAGCATATTTACATTTAGGAAGCAGAAGTAAAGAAGGAAATGATGATGTGAAGAGAGATGATGGCTATGAAGAGAGGAAGTGTTCGATTAGGAAAATTAGTGCATATCTGAGCGTGGTTTACTAGAACATCTTGCAAGAAAGAAACATCAAGCCAAAGAGGCATATTTGACAACCGAAAACTCTGTCAAATCCATGGAGTCTGCTGAGAACTCATCTAAATGTGTTCCAAATGATTCAAAAAAAGATAAGAAACCACCACCACTGTCATTACTAGCTATTGCAGGTTCAAGTGAGCTTTTAAAGAAGAAAATAGAGTGATATGTCTATATAAGACGGTTCTACATTTTCTAATGCTGTTGACTAACAGCATCAACAAATGATTGATGATATTTTATGTTGCCATTCGTATTCTATTTTAAAAGGCGGTTTATTTTCTAAGGCTATTCAATAATAGTATCAAAAAATAAGTCTATTTTATGAAGCTATATTTTGTAAGGCGGTTTTGGACAGCATAAAAAAATAAGTCTATTTTATGAAGCTATTTTTATGAGGCGGTTTTGGACATTTTCTAAGGCGGTTGTAGAACCGTCTCAAAAAACAACACTATTTTATGATGCTATATTTTTTGAAGCGGTTGAATAACCGCATTAAGAAATAAAAAAAAAACCGCTTTATTAAACCTTTTTTGTACTAGTGCCATGAGCCACGACGAGGCACCAGGATGATGTGCACGATCATGGTTCGTTGTCGGGTAGACCACATAGGCCTTTGTCCTGGGTATACCGGACAACATAATAACCAACTATGCAACTAACCTACCATCTTCATCGATCCGGTACAAATAAGTTGTACATTAACTTCGTTTCCTTTTATATTCTTAACGTAATATTATTTCACTTTACTTAATAACCAACTATGCAACTAGCCTACCAACTTCTTCCAACTAGCCTACCAACTTCTTCCGGTACAAATAAGTTTTACATTAACTTCGTTTCTTTTTATATTCTTACGTAATATTATTTCACTTTACTTAATAACCAACTATGCAACTAGCCTACCAACTTCTTCCAACTAGCCTACCAACTTCTTCCGGTACAAATAAGTTTTACATTAACTTCGTTTCTTTTTATATTCTTACGTAATATTATTTCACTTTACTTAATAACCAACTATGCAACTAGCCTACCAACCTCTTCCGGTACAAATAAGTTTTACATTAATTCATTTCTTTATATATTCTTACGTAATATTATAGTATTTTTCTAGTGTTTGGCTTAAAAAACATACTCTTTTGTTATAACACGTAAAAGACCGTTTGCAGATGATTGATGATAATGTGGCAGAAAAATAATTCATCCTATTTGTTTTCTATAACAAACACGGACGGTATTTTAATATAATTATATTTTTATGCCTAGAAAAACATGTCATATCCATATATACTTTGTCCTAATTAACTTCTATAGATACATGTTGTTTTAAAAAGATAATAAGGGATGAAAATCGGTGTTTCACTGTTTTGAGTTAAATTTTATATTCATCACCATTATAATGGGCTTTTATATATATATATATATATATATATATATATATATATATATATATATATATATATATATATATATATATATATATAGAGAGAGAGAGAGAGAGAGAGAGAGAGAGAGATAGAGAGAGAGAGAGAGAGAGAGAGGTTATAAAAGAAAAAATAGACAATAGTAGCAAAGGAATTTCTAATTTTGCACTTTAATAATTATACCATGAAATTACAAACTTTATGACAAGTACATTATGATGCCTTTTAATCTAAATAAGGCAAGTTTCTCTTTCGTAAGGAGAAACCGATAATAACACTATTTTTCTAATACAAATTCAAGCGGGTTGCAAACTAGCCACCTCAGCAATCCCCTAGTCCTCCACCCCAAATCTCACTCAATAAAAGCCATATACAAATTTCTTTAAAATTTAGATTGTAATTTTGAATTTTTAAATAATAAAATTCAAATTCTAACATTTTCCCTTTCGTACTAAAAAAGAAAAATTAAAATTGAGCCCCTTGAAATGTCTGACCAAATTGCCAGTTTGATGGTGCCGCATTATAGCTTGTGGTGGTCTTTCCGTCACTTGTTGTGACTTGAAAAGAAAGACTTTGTCCATTAAGGTACGAGTTGCTTTGCCAGTTTTGCCCCCAGTTCCTTGACATGGGTTGCCACCCGGTTTTCGATCCTTTGATTGATACCGAGTGGACATCCCCTGCACCTCCAACGTTGGTGATCAAAACCAAGTTGAAATATGAATGACCATTTATAGTAAACCTTACACCTCCTTTCTTCATACAAGGCACTCTATAAATCAAATTAATCAATTTAATTAAAATTTTACAATAAATATTGTGACATATAGAGTGATTGAGCATCATACAATACCTTTGAAATGACACAGGTACAATTCCAGCTCGATATTGTGCAATTTGTAGGAAAGCAGGCTCAGCCAGGTCAAAATGTTGAAGGGGAGGGTTGCACCACCCACCATTATCGTTAGACAAACCAGGGTTAGGTGGACAGAAATTGGTAGCAGTTACAATTATGGAACCAGGGAGACACCATTTAGGGTCGTCATTGCATCTCATCTCATAACAAGACCCACAACTCAAACCATTATTGAATAGAGCAGTACTAAGTGCTGCAGTGTTTGTACCATATCCTTGGCTATACAAATTTCCATACCCGCAAGCACCACCTGCCAAGAAAGCAATAGAGTCACAATGATGTACTTTTTTCAAAATAATCGTATTCATTGTTATATATTAAAAAAAAAAAAAAAAAAAAAAAAAAATCTTTTTTGCATACCCATTGTTCCTGAGGCATCCCCGCCGCCGTAAAAAGTGGCATGGCCACTTTCCCAACCTCCATAGACAAGATTGAAAGAGCATAGAAGTAGAGAAACAGTGATGAAAGTTGAAAAGGCCATTGCAGGAGAGAGAGAGAGAGAGAGAGAGAGAGAGAGAGAGAGAGAGAGAGAGAGATGTAAAGTGAAGAAAGAGGTTGGTATAATATTAGAGGGAATGGTGTTAACTAACTTATATAGGGAAGTTAGAAGGAGGCAAAGGGGTTGGGACCATATGTACTAGAAAATGACACTTTTAGCATATGTTGTAGCAACCATATCCACAAGAGCTAGTAAAAAAAAACAAACAAACAAACAGATGTACTGCCAATTTATTTTCTAACTTGGTTGGTTATTATATAATAAATCAATCAAAGTTGTTAGAAATTTATGTCGTTTGGAATAAGGAAATCATAGAATCAAATTTGATAGAAATTTTATGTCGTAACCCACTATTAGAAAATTATAAGCTTCTAATATAGTGTGTGTAATATGAATTTGTTTGAATTATTATATAAAATTTGTTTATTGAAAATTTTATCGATAAGCGTAATTAATATTTTACGGCTTTGTAAGAGATTTGTATCCATCGTCCAAGTTGAACATGCGGTTGTTCCAATTGAAATACCAAACTGATGGCCCCATTAGCACATGCATTTCCTCAACAATTTTCTTCTTTCATTTATCTTTTTTTTCCTCTCCTCCTCTTCATTAATTTATTTGTTATTAATTTGTTCATAATTACTATTCAATGCTGTCATCAAACTCCATATACTAGATTTAATTAAAAATAATTACAAAATTTAATTTGAAAATAATAATGTGGCCAAATAATACGTGACAAAGTGTGTAACTAAATTATTAAAAATGATTATAAAGCCTATAGTATATTGTTTCAGTAACAACTTATTGTTCTGATTAAAACTTAATGAGTTAAATCAAATCGATTAATTCATAAGTAAATTAATTAAAAATTCACAACTAATTCTATTAAACTCTTTCTTAAAAATTCTTATAAATCTGTTACTTGGAAAAGAAAAATTCACACCAGCATAAACTTACGCCATTTATTCTTTTAACTAAATGTTGATTAGGAATAGTTTTCTATTATAATGTTTATAAAAAGGTTATTGATATTTTAACACATTTATACGACTTAAAAAACTAAAAATATGTTCCTAATGAATACCTTAACACAAAATCATAAACGTACAAAAATTAATTTTTTTTGTTAGTTTTTTTTTTCTCTGAGTTCTTATTTAATTTTCCAAAAAGGAAAAATAGATTTTGAAACATACATCATTAAGGTTGTGTTTGACAGACTAGCTGAAAAAAATAAGGTTTGATAAAAACTAGTTGATAAGCTAGCTAAAATATATAAAATAACATAAAAGACATTTAGAATAATATGTTTTTGATAATTAATTAAAAGTATATTTCGGAAATCTTAAAAAACGAAGCTTTTTAAAAAACTAACTTAGCTGCTTTTTGGCATGTTAAATATGACAATTTAAAAAAACTTGAAAAATAAGCTATTTTTTCAGCTAGCTGTGACGCGCCAAACACAAGTTAGTTTTTGAGGATAGTTGAAGATTGGATGCTGAAATTACTCATTTGAATCAATAATATTTTTTTTGTTTATATTATACTGCTATTATTTTTTTTATACTAGTATGATTTTTCATGGTAGTTGAAGATTGGATGTGTATTTTTAAAATGCTGGCTAATCCCCATTTTTTCCAAGAAGTATATTATAATTTAGACTTAATGTGATATTTTGAAACATCTGATCATGAGCTATTTTGAAATAATAATTTTAATTATTTTTAAATGTTTTCCAAAACCATTTTAAAAAAGGGTGGAATTCCCAAAACATCAAAACTCTTTTAATATCAAAATAAGTGTCAAAAAGGTATATAAGGGCATCACAAACCAATATAAGAGTAGTGTCGAAATTGCCGATCATAGCCTCCTCAAAATTATGCCCACCTCACTACCTCAGCCCATCTCATTCATATCATTTCTCTTTCTTCGGCAAGCCATTGCCGAGGAGACACAAAAGTTGCATGCCAAGCACAGGGGCGTTGCTTACCAAGTTTACCGAGCTCCAAAATATTCTCATCAACTTCAAATCTCCAAAATATTAAAGAAAAACACTACTAGACTGCTACTAACCTAAACATCTGAAATTAATGTACCAGAATCGGAAATTCCACCAAGTAAATATGGTTCGACAATCATAAATAGTTTATAAAATAACATTATAGGAGTATATAATAAGCACCTTGTTATTAACTTCAAAGCTTCAAATATCATTATAAAAGGTAAACGATGTATATGAAATGCAATTCACTAAATGTAAGTTACCAAATCCAAATTATTATTACTTCAATTTCCCATAACCAAATTCGTACTCTCATAATAGTCCATTCCACTCTAAGGGTCTAAATGATAACATATACATAAGTAAGGTATTAATATCACACTAAACCCACTTAATGACTTCAAACAACAAAAAAGCATAAAGTGAGAGTTAGTTACAAATATTATAATTCACAAGTTCAAAAATAGAATTTTGGAGAAATGTGACCACTGAAACCATATAATAGGTGTCTAAAGTCCATATAATAGGTGTCTAAAGTCCATCCCAGTGATCATGAATATCTAAAATGTCAAATACAAAAATAAATAAATAAATAGAATACACCACTTGAAAGTGTTGTATTCCCAAAAATGCATGGACAACGCATGAGTCTCAACTCATCTTAAGTGCACGCTCATGTTGTAACACCCACATTTAAGAAATCTGGTACCTGATCATCGTTGGAAAAATCACCAAAGGTAATATGAGACGGATACAATCAGAACAAGTTGTTGGGTTGTGGATGAGATAATATGAGGGGTATAAGGCAATGATATGGTGGTCGTTGACAGACACATGGAGGAGAGAGGGGGTGAATGGTATGTGGAGAAAAGACAGATAAAAAGAGAAATAGATGAACCTAAACAAAATCGATATGTTAGAATATGAGAATTTACGTATATAAGTGTATTTTTAATTTTATTTTATGTGGTATAATATTTTTTTTCATGTTTTTTAGAGACCAAATTCACACACACACACAAAAAAAGAAAAAAAATAAATAAAAACCTTGTTTTGGAGTAGCGATAAAAATTGGAAACAGTTTAAGTTGTATCCACAAAAAACAAGCTACCATAACCAAATTTGCAGTTTACTCTAAAAATTATCAATCATTTTTTTTAATAGCAAATAAATATAAATTTTCTCTGTTTAGGATTGAAGTAATGACCTCTTAGATTGTAGTTAGATTAGAACCACCACGACTTACTAGCGAAAATCAATATTTATGAAATTGGTTATGACCCATAATTTTCACAGCTTAATTTCTCTATTGAGTTAAAAAAAAATGACGACCCAAAAATATGAGAATTAAATTATTAAAAAGCCACTAATGTTTTCTATTTTACTGTTTAAAAAAATAGAAAATACAAATACGTTATATGTATTTGACAAAATTGCAAAAATGGTCCCTGTGGTATGCAAATTTTTGGGGTTTTAGTCCAAACCACGACTTTTTTGGATTCGAGGTCCTTTTGAGCTAGTTTCACTGCGTTTTTGGTCCCTCTGAATAGTGAAATGACTATAATACCCTTGGATTATTTCTTTTTCATTTTTCTTTCATTTCTTTTTAAATCTAATACTAATATATTTATTTTAATAATTAATAAATTAAGAAGGGGCCCACCTTCTCTCTCTCTCTCATGAATAAAAAATTTCATACAAAACCCATGTAGAAGATAGTGGATTTATTTTCATTTATGACTTGGAAGTTCTCTGCCTCTCTGTTTCTCGTTCCCTGTATCTCACCCCACGAATGATTTCATGGGCTTCGAATCGGTGAGTTTCAGAAGGCAATCGGAGATCGTGAAGGCAATCGAACCCCCACAGGTCCGATCAAAACCCTCCTCCCCTAACCCTCTAGTTAAACCCCTTTTTGATTTAATGCCTCCCTCTTCTTTGTTCATTTTTTTTGTATCTAATCTCTTTTCATCTTGATTCAATGATCTGAAACGGTGGCGTTTTTTAGGATTGGAAGCAACGAGAAAGGAAATCAAGGTAGGTGGTTTTTTAGTTTTCTTCCTTGATGAATTTCATTGATGCTCAGTTTGGAAAACTTGATATGTTGGTAACGATCGTGAAGCCTCATTGTTCACTGAACCTTAAATGAAAAAAACCTTTTGTTTCATCTCCGTTTGATTTATGAAAAATCGTTGAAATCAGGTGAGGCAAAATTGGTTTATTGGTGAGTTTTTAAGTGATTGTGGTGTATGAATATTGATTATAACAGAGAATGGTCGTTTAGGTTTACGATTCATTAATCTGGAGAGAGAGAGAGAGAGAGAGAGAGAGAGAGAGAGAGGTGGGCCCCAAATTAGGTAATTATTTTATTTTTCATTTAAATTAAATAGAAAAAGCATAAAAAATATATCAGAAGGGTATAATAGTCTTTTCAGTTTATCGAGGGACCAAAAACGCAGTGAAACTAGCTCAAAAGGACCACGAATCCAAAAAAGTCGTGGTTTGGACTAAAACCCCAAAAATTTACATATCACAGGGACCATTTTTGCGATTTTGTCTATGTATTTGAATATTTTTCTTCGGGTTAAATGTAACTTCCAAACATCAAAGAGTCAAAAACTAGAGATAATTGATGGGATGGTTTTGGTATTGTTGTTAGTTAACTTGTTAGAGCATGTTTTCTCACAGTTTTTTGAAGTTGTCATGTTTAGCAGGCTAAAAAAGTAGTTTATAAGGTAGTTTTTTAAAAAACATTAAGACTAGTTTTTTAGGATTTTTTTTTTTAAATTTTCCATATATACCCTTAAATAATTATAGATACACATTCTTTTAAATGTCATTTATGTCATTTAATATATTTCAGCTAGTTTTACCACACGGCATTTTTTATCGGTTAACTTTTTAGTTATCATCTACTTTTTTATTTAAAAGCTAATTTTTTAACTATCAGCTAGGTTTTTAGCTATTATCTAGTTTTTCCAGCTAGTATGTCAAACATAGCATTA